ATATATATATATATATATATATATATATATATATATATATATATATATATGGTTAGCTTGTTTTGTGTTCAGAAATGTGACCTTGGAGCCAAATGGTAGATAGTAGTTCCCAAAGTCTTTTGGGGGGTCCACCCTGATTTAAATGAAACCTGGGCATCTTTTTTTTTTTTCAAGAAAACTGATCTATATCTTCTTGAAGTTACCTTCTACGCACTTGTAATATCTAATTCTATAAATTAACTTGACCGGACCACAGGGTGCCTAGGTAGTTGGTCAAACATTATAGTCTGTGTAGGCACTATTGGATGTAATTAACATTTAAATGGCTAGGCTGAGTAAAGCAGAGTGCCTTCCCTATACATGCTCACCTTACCATACCCCTGCTTCTCTCTTTTATTACAGTAAGAGATAATAATACCTATTGGAGGAGAGCAAATCAGCTAATATTTGTCAAGTGCTTTCACTGATCCTTGGAACAAAGTAAATATTCTTTTATTTATTCATTTATTTTTGGGTCAGTCAAGGGGCTTGAACTTTAGGCCTGGGCGCTGTCCCTGAGCTCTTCAGCTCAAGGCTAGCACTCTACCACTTGAGCCACAGCGCCACTTCTGGCCTTTTCTGTTTATGTGGTGCTGAGGAATCGAACCCAGGGCCTCATGCATGCAAGTCAAGCACTCTACCACTGAGCCACCCTCCCAGCCCCATAAATATTCATATTGATTCTTTATTTAACCACAATAATGTGGCACTAAGCCGTGGCTCTTCTTACTACTTTCCCATTGCCTATTGTTCAGAAGGTCCCCACTCATGGCCAGCTGAACTGGAGACTGGCAACTTGGATGAGTGCAGGGGTGACAGCCCCAAGGTCCACCTGATTCTTCAGGAGTTCAGCCAGGCTTGTGAGACCCTCCTCCCCACCACACTGACCTGAGCCCTCCATGGAAGCCTGTGGGATATGGGAGGAGGATGTGGTTGTCTCAGGCAGAAGAATGGAAAGTGGCGTGGTTGTTTTTCTGCACAGAGGTTCTGCAAAATAAGAGACAGATGGTGAGGGTGTGTGGTGAGTACAGAAAATGTGCGCATGTGAGACATAGCGTGGCTCTCGGGGGATGGGTTTCTAGTGTATGGTAGGAAAGCCAATATTTAAATTAGAAACAAACTCATGGCCTCATGTTTGCTTGGCTAAGTGCACTACCACATGAGCCATGCCCTCAGCCTTGAGTTTTGCTGGCTCATTGGAGATAGAATCTTATGAACTTTTCTGCTTGGGCTAGCTTCAAAACACAGTCCTCTGGATCTCAGCCTCCTGAGTAGCTAAGTTACAGGTGGAATCCACCAGCTCCCAGAAGTAATGCTTAAATAATGCTGACATATTTAAATGGTGAGAAGTCTAGATTTGTTTAGAAATACAGTCAGCTCTTGAGATATCTGAGTTTCACATCTGTTCAATTCAACCAACCAGATTGAAACCATTCAAAACCCCCTTGCATCTGTACTGCACGCATAACTGACTTATTTTCTTGTCCTTATTCCCTAAACAATGTTGTATCACAACTATTTACATAGCATTTACATTGCATTGGGTATGTTAAGGTTCTAGAGGCAATTTAAAGTAAATGTTAGGGTGTGCCTGGGTTATATGAAAACATCATGGCAAATTATACAAGAGACTTGGCATCTGTAGGTTAGGATACCTAAAACCAATCCAGGGCCAGCTACCCCTAAATTATACTTAATTTCTTAATTGGTGCTTCTGACATACGGAACATGCTTCAACTTTTTAAAAATATCAACTACTCTGCATGTGTGTGTATGTGTACCAGTACAGGGGCATGAACTCATGGCCTAGGCACAGTGTCCCTAAGCTTCTTTTGCTCAAGGCTAGCACTTTACCACTTGAGCTACAGCACCACTTGCAGCTTTTTCTGTGTATGTGGTACCGAAGAATTGAACTCAAGGCTTAATGCATACTAGGCAAGCACTCTACCCTAAGCCAGCTGGCTTCCTGTCCTTTGAGGCTGACCACATCAGGGGATGGGAGGGGAAGGGACAGGGAATCAACTTGTACTGGGGACAGGAAATGGAAACTCCGCTCATTAGCAAAATGTATCAACAGCACATTTGTCTTCCCTACAGGAAGAAGATACATTTCTTAAGTAAGTGAAGTTTGTCCCTCTTCACCAAACCAAGGCTCTGGGAGTTGCCTCTTAGACTCGTCACAAGAGCTGATTGGACTTGGCCACAAAACAGGGAGCGTACAGGCGCTCTGTGGGCCGGGCAGCCTCTATCCTCTCAGCCAAGGCTTCTTCTGTTCCTTGACTTCCAGGTGTTCCTCAGTTCATGGTGCTGTCTGGGTCCTGAACGTAGCGAGTGAATGGGCTCTACTTCAGTCTAGTATTTCATTGGCCTTTCTGCAATTTACCCAGAAAGGGAAGGTTTTGTAATTCATCCACCTATCCCTCCAAGGAAACTCTCTGACATTGGTCTGCCCAGACAGGGCCTCTTTCTAAGTTTAAGGAAATTGCCTTCTGTGTTGGCTATAGACCTGCCTTAGTCATCTTTGCTCTTCTACACAACAGTTGTTTTCTGAAGGCCGGGAAGCCGGCTAACCACAAAGTCATTGTCTTGAGCATATAGATAATAGCAAGTCTAAGAGGTCGATGTATGAAAAAAGTGTAGGACTTCCTTTTTTTGGATTACAGCATCTCGTCAGGGGGCTCAGAGGCCCCTCTGGTTCTCTTCCTAGTTCTTGACAGTCTTGTGGGTGCCTGGGATTGCAGAGTACAACAGAGTATTCATGGAATGCTATCTATGGGGGCAGGGCACTGGGCAGCATTGACAGTTTAGAGATAAGTGAATGAGACATTGCTTTCAGGAACTACTGGTCTACCTATCAGTGACTTTTAAATACCACAGTGTGTCTCTAGTTGCTCAGGGCTCTTAGAACAGACTTCTCACATGCCTAAACTATCACTAAGATGTGAATCACACCTCACAGACATAATTTCCACAACATGCAAAATTATGGGTCATCTTGATGGGGCTAAGGGATGTTCCTATAGCTGGCAAAACATTATTTCTGGGTATTGCTGTTAGGATGTGTGTTAATCATCTTTCCATTACTGTAAGAAAGTATCTGAGATGGTTAACTTATGCTGAGAAAAGGTCTATCTTTTTTTTGTTTTTTGGTTGTTGGGCTTGAACTTGGGGCCTGGCTCTGTCCCTGAGATCTTTTTGCTTAAGACTTTGAGTCACAATACCACTTCTGGTTTTCTGGTGGTTAATTGGAGAGAAGAGTCTCATGGACTTTGCTGCCCTGGGGCTGACTTTGAACTGCAATCCTCAGAGCTCAGCTTCCTGAGTAGCTAGGATTACAGGCATGAGCCACCAGAGCCTGGCTGGTCTATTTTACCATACAGTTTTGGAGATTTCCATCACAATTAACTTGGTCTATGCTGTGGGCCGATGACCTGGCAGCACCTTGCGGTTCAAGCTGATGACAGAGCAAATCTGCTTCCTTCACAAGCCAGGGAACAAAGAGGAAGGGCCTGAAGTCCCACAATCTTCTTGAGACCACACCCTCAATGCCCCAAAGACCTCCCACTAAGCCCACCTCTTTTTATTTTATTTTACATTTTAAATTGTGATTCAGTGATTACATACATTTCACAAACATCACAGTCTTGTAAGATAGTGATACTTAAAGTCACAAACACATTCTAACCTTCATGGTAAGCCCATCTCTTAAAGGTCCCTCATCTCCCAGAAGTTTTACCTGGGTGCCAAGACTTTAATAATGGGTCTTTGGGGAAACATTCAACTCTCCAACTATGGCAGTGTTTGTGGAAGAGTTGAGCATTTGAAGCACACACCTATTGGGTGTGGGGAGGGGGTGGGGAGGGAGCAGCACTCCATCTTTTGAGATCCCAGAGCCACGAGATGAAAACAGGGTAAATGTGGTCTCTGTCTGAGCTGGGATTCCCATCTTCTGCCTGCAGACATCAGGGCTCCAGGCTCAGACTCAGACACAAACTCATCCCCTCACTTCCCGGGTTCCTAGATGAGAACTACAACATGGAGCTAGATGTCATTGGCTCATTCACATAATCTTAAGTAATCAGGGAGCTAAGATCTGGAAGATCTCGATTCCAAGTTAGCCTGAGCAGAAAAGTCTGTGAGATTTCTTCTCCAATTAATCAGCAAAATGCCAGACTAGAGGTGTGGCTCCGTTGGCAAAGCACCAGCCAGGAACAAGAAAGCCAAGAACTATAGCATGGGAACTTTATTGGACCTTCAGCTTATGGATGGTGGATTGTGAGAATTGTCTGCCTCCTCACTCTTGTGAGCCAATCCTACAATAAATTCCTTTTCATATAGGTGCATAGCCAGTGGATTTTTCTCTGGAGCACCCCTCCTACTCTGATGTTTAAACAAGTTTAAACAAGTCTCTCTAACCACAGGCTCCCAAGAAAGACCCTGGAGACTATGTCTGTACCCAGGGTAAAAGGCTGAAAGGTGGGAGCAACTCCACAGTGAAAAGCAAGCATCCTTCTTACTTGGTCCATCTAGTTCTTGTTGAGAGAGAGAGAAAGAGCCTGCACTATTTAGAAATCTCAATGTGTGGCCAACACTTTTTAAAAAAAATCAGATTTTGCACAGAAAAAAAATCACAATTCGACTTGGGTGTGGCTTCTACCTGAAATCCTAGTTATTCAGAAGGCTGTAATCTGAGGATTGAAGTTAGCCTGGCCAGACAAATCTGAAAGACTCTGACCTCCAATTAACCATCAAAAAGCTAGAAGTGGAGGTGTAGCTTGAAAGGTAGAGCTCCAGCATTAAGTGAGAGAACTCAGCGAGGGCATGAAACCCTGAGTTCAAACCCCAGTTCCGCCCCCCCTCAAACAAAGAAAAAAGAAAAAAACAACTAGGGAGACAGACACAATGGTGAAAGTGACACTTCCATGGTGGCCACTTTGGCCACCTGTGGTGGCTTATCTAACTCAGGTCCCATCTTGGACAATTCAGGCTTCCATGTCTGCTTGTTGCTTTCATGCCACAAAATGATGGGCAAGGGGCTGACCAATTAGATAGCATATTACAGTCTCTGCCCTCCCCCAGTTTCCATGGTAACTACAAGGACGCAGCCTCACAGGACAGCAGGTCATCAACCCCTGCCATTTCCGGAAGAGTCTCAGCAGCTGACATAACATGGCTTCTATCAATGGGGACTGTAGCCTCTTGCTTCTACCACTGTAAGCATCCATTGACTATTTCATTCATTCACCCTGCGTATTAGATTCTACTGACCACAAGGAAAAATCTAGGCCTTCACTAAGGACTGCCTAAGTGTGTGGATCCATCTATCCATCCATCCCACAAATATTTATAAGAGTTCCTTCTATGGGTCAGAAAATGTTCCAGTTCTTGGGGATACAGTATCAAGTAAAAATAGGAAAAAATGCCTACTTGGATAAAGGTTGTTCTAAGGATGCAGACAATCAACTAAATAATTAAATTGCTGACTAGAGGATGATGAAGAGTTAAAAAACAATCAAATTGGGAAGTAGAATGAGAGGTTCCAGATTGCACTTTGAGTTTATTGTAGACTTTATTTTTTTTAACTTTAAAAGCTGGGTGCTGGTGGTTCACACCTGTATTACTAGTTATTAAGGCATCTGAAAGCTGAGGATCACAGTTTGAAGTCAGTCCAGGCAGGAAAGTCAGTGAGACTCTTATCTCCAAATCACCACCAGAAAACTGGAAGTAGAGCTGTGGCTCAAAGTGGTAGAGCACTAGCCTAGAACAAAAGAACTCAGGGAAGTGCCCAGGCTCTGTGTTCTAGCCTCATGACCAATAAAAATAAACTAAAATAAAAATAAAAGAGACGAGGGATACTATGCTATATTTACAGGAAAAATGTCCTAACCAAAGAGAACAGCAGAGGCAAAGTCCCAATTAGGGAGGGTGGCTGGCCTGCCACTCTTCAGGAGACAGTACCCTTGGAGAGGAAGAGTGGTGTGTGTGTGTGTGGGGGGGGTGTTAGATGATTCTCCATAGGTTTGGTTTGTGTACAGCTTAGGGTGTCTTCAAAGTCATCTTTCCAAGAATGGATAGCAGCCCCGTGCTCCTGGCTACTCAGGAGACAGAGATCTGAGAATCATGGTTCAAAGCCAGCCCGTGCAGAAATGTCTGTGGGCTCTTTCTCGAGGTAACCAACAAAAAGCCAGAAGTGGAGGTGTTGCTCAAGTGGTACAGCACCAGCCATGAGTGAAAAAATAGAAGCATGAGGCTCTGAGTTCAGGTGCCAGTATTGGCGCATGCGTGTATGCATACATATAGATACACACACACACAAACACACACACACACAAACACACACACACACACACACACACATAGATCCTTCACTTTCCTAGATGAAAGGATGGGATCAAAGTTAGAATGAAGCAAACAAATGAAGACAATACCCAGTGAACTGGGGTCCAGAGAGCATGCATTTGTTCTCTCTTAAATCCAGAACATTGGTGCAAAAAGAAAAAAAATAAAATGATCTCAGGGCACATACACAGCCAGTGGGCAAAACAGATGAGAGCTCGCAGGCAGCTGTGGCTGGTGGATGCTCATGTGGGACAGTCTGGTTAGAGGAAGGGCTGAGGAAAGGGGTGAGGAGGATCAGATTTCATCTCAGAGGAGCCCAGGCCCACCAGCCCCTGCCTTCCCTGTATCCACCTCCATTTCCAGCTCCTAGTCAGATTGCCTAGACAGAAGACCCCAGCCCTCCGCCTCCAGGAGCGCCCACACTGGAAAACAACCCTCAAAGCAGACCCTGCTAGCCCAGCACTGGGCACACTTCGGTGACCTGAAGAGCCACCAGAGCTGTCAGCCCCACCCCCACCCTGGGGAGTTTTGTGGGCAGATTAGATTTTGCACTCAGCCTTATCCCCACTGGCTCAAGAGGCTCCAGAGGAGGGCTAGGGAAGGAAGGACTCTGCATCCCTGGTTTCCTGCCTGGCTGGGAAGGAAACACCTGGCTGGGAAGAAGTGAAGTGAAGTGTGTGTGTGTGTGTGTGTGTGTGTGTGTGTGTGTGTGTACATGACCATTGTTCCCAAGGCCTGAGTGTAAAGAACATAGATGCTGAGTGGAAAGTGCAAAGAGGGGTGGGTGCTCCTGAGCCACGCTGACCAGGTGCCTTCTGGGAGACAGTAGGTGTGCGGAGAGTGCAGACCCTAGTTTGTGTGTGTGTGTGGGGGGGGGCCCTAGGTGTAGCACAGTACCACAGCCACACAGCCAGGGTCCATTCTTCCCTGTCACTAGGGTGATTTGGCTGGTGGCTTCACTTGGCTACTGAGGAGGCTGACCTGACTTGATTCCATTGGAAAATGAAGCATTTTCCTCCTCTCTCTATGTATCCAGCAAAAAAAAAAAAAAGTCAGCAGTGGAGGGAGTATGGTTCAATTGGTTGAGTGCCAGCCTTGAGCAGCAAAATCAAAGGAAAGTTCTCTGGTCTTGAGTTTGAGCCCTAGGTCTCTCTCTCTCTCTCTCTCTCTCTCTCTCACACACACACACACACACACACACACTTAAATAAAATAATATGAACATACAGCTGGGAAGAATCTCCCTTATAAGACTGTCATGAAGACTAAGTCAGCTGATATTTGAAAACCACATGGAGAACAGGGCGTCTGGCTCAAGTGGAAGAGCTTCTGCCTAGCGAGGGCAAGGCCCTGAGTGTAATTCTTTGTGCAGAAGAAGAGGAAGAGGAAAAAGAAAGAGAAAGAGAAGAAGAAAAAAGAAAACTGAAAGAAGAGAAAGAAGAGGAAAAAGAAGGAAGGAAGGAAGGAAAGAAAGAAAGAAAGAAAGAGAGAAGCAGGAGGAGAAGTAAAGGGATAGGAGGACAATTACTTATAGCCTTGTGGCCTGCACAAGCATCTCTGTGCATTACAAGAACCTCTAGTTGGAAGCTTGGCCCACACATGCACTCTTCTGCCCCTGTGGATTTGTGACCTCTGCCCCCTTCAGCTGGGAGGCCTCAGCCTCCCCTCTGCATACCAGGCCCACCCTCTTTCATAGTAGCATTTGGAAGCATATCTCAAAGTCTTTATCTGACTTTGCACCTGACCTCTCATTATCTCCCACTTCCTGCACAGCCTCATCTCCCAAAACCCCCTAACATCTTTTGCTTTCTGCAATCATGGCTATGTCCCAACAACCAAGGCAAAGGTCAACTCCTGGGGACAGAGGCCACATCTTTACCAGGCTCTGGGACTGGCCACCTTCCCAGTTGCCTCATCCACATATGTGGAGAACATCAGTCAAGCTAGCAGGCCATTACTACCTACCCAGGAAAGGGACGGACAGAGCATGCCCAAGAAGGGACACAGATGGTATCCCAGGCAATTCACTTTGAGTGTGCTGCTCGCTTAGCCACTCTGCCATCTTTGACAAGTCACTTCATTTGGAGCCTCAGTATCCTGACCTATAAAATGGACATTAAAACATTTCCCTCTGGCCTGGTACTGGTGGCTCATACCCATAATCCTAGCTACTCAGGAGGCCGAGGTCTGCGAATCATGGTTCAAAGCCAGCTCGGGCATAAATGTCTATGAGACTCTTATCTCCAGTTAACCGCCAGAAAGCCCGAAGTGGAGTTGTGGCTCAAGTGGCAGAGTACCAGCCTTGAGCAAAAAAGCTAAGGGAGAGCACTTAAGCTCTGAATTCAAGCCCCAGTAGTGGCACAAAGGAAAACAAAACAAAAAAAAACCATTTATTGCTAGAGAGAATCAAGTGGAATAGCAAAGATATTTCCTACACCATGGCGCACGTATCATTGGATCTAGTATCATTGGCAGTACAAGATCTCAGAAGGCGAAGTCCCTTCACTGGGTCCTATGCTCTTTTTATTATTTGAAAATGACATAAGCAAACACAGACAGGGAGAGTATCTGCCATATTTGGGGAACCCTTCTCTGAAAGGCTGAACCCATGGAGCCCCAGACTTGGGTCTCCTCCTCTGCTGTCTTGGCTCAGCTCTGTGTCACCCAGGTCCCCCACAGAGACCTCAGCTTCAGCCAGTACCTACCTTGACTTGGCTTGGCTTCTCTACTCCCCAAGTCTTCCAATCATTGAGCTCCCCGAAGTTCTGCCCAGTGATCCCCAACAGCTCTGAAGGACCAGCTGTCTTGGAGGAGTCCTATCTGTCCAGATCTGCAGAGAAAGTCTTGTGTTTTACTGGCCAGCCCTGTCCCTCCTCTTCCTTCCCCTTCTTCTTCCTCCCTGTGGTCTTCATAGCTCCTCCCCAGCACGGCTGGCTGCAGGGTCACTTCTAAAGAAGCCACTGTGGTCACTAGAGGCTCTTCATTGTGATCTATGCTATCAAACTCCTTGGGGCAACTACCTGGCCTTGCACTGGTGTTGATGGGGTTGAGACACAGGAGCCCCCAACCCCCACCCCAGCTCTGCTCCACACCCATGCTTCTCAGTCTGAGCCTATCTTTATTTCTGAAAAATTATATACATTTGGGCTCCAGTGGCTCATCCCTGTAATCCTAGCAACTCAAGGGGCTGAGATCTGAGGTTTGAGGTTCAAAGTCAACCCAAGCAGGAAAGTTCAATTAACCCACAAAAAGCCAGAAATCTAGCTGTGGCTCAAAGTGATAAGAGTGCTAGCCTTTGGCATGAAAGCTCTGTGACAGTGGCCAGGTTCTGAGTTCAAGTCCCAAGGATGGCATTAATAAAACAACTAAAGTTAAATTGATTTTTAAAAATTAATCTTCATTTAGTAATAATGTAGACTTTATAATACAACCGTAAGATACTGACATTTGATAGTTTAAACAACATGTCATTTGTGCAAAAGTCATGTTTAGCATGAAAATTTAAATTGGGAAATTCATAGTTCACAAACATGTATTTTGTTGACAGCTTGAAGAAATTATTATCATTTTACTTAAGATAGAAAACAATGGGGTTAGAGGCATGGCTTAGGTGATAGGACCTCTGTCCATGAGCCTAAAGGGCCAGATACTGAGTTCAAGTCCTGATTTCAAACTCCCCTCTTCCCCCAACTTCCCCCAGCTCCAAATTCACAGTTAGGCTTGAGAATTAGTACTATAAATTTTATATAGTTGGTACTATAATTTTTTGTTAATAAGATGTACTTGAAATAAAGGATTCTGATGACTAATAAATTGATACTTTATTGTATAACCAAGACCCATTGGTTTTTATAAAGCCTAATAATCAGGTATCTCACCATTAATTTAAATGACAGAGATCTAGTTGAAAACATCATTTGGAGGATTAAAATAAAAAGCACTAGCAGCTTCAATTTCCATTTTTACCAACAGACACAAAATGTAGAGTATATTAGGCTTTGCCAGAAAACCATGCAGACATCCAGGTACAAAGAACAAAGAAAAGGTTTATTGTCAGTAAAGGATCAATAGGACCCCTTCTCACAAGAGAGGAGTGAGAAGAAGTGCCAGTTTTGTCTGAGGTGACCTTTATAACCTAGGAGGTTTAGGAGGTGGAGACCCTGGTGTGGATGTGGACCAGGGGCTTCATCATGGTGGACTAGGATTTATGGCTGCTTCCCACATAGTAGATAAGGGGCCTTGCAGCTGCCCAGACCTGAAGGACACTCTAAGGGGATCTGTCTGTCTTATATTGTTGTAGCTGCCCCAGAGGAGTGCCATTTCCAGGTAAAGGGGGTTGAAGGCTGATTATTTACTTCCCTTACTAAATGGGCCTAGTGTTGGCTAGGAAAGGAGCATGCCAAACCATGGGAAGGGGAAGGAGCATGCTAAGCTATGGGAAAGGAGCTTATTGGGCCAACAGAAGTCTGTATTCTGTACTTAAAATTTGTAGAAAAGTCTCAAGTATGTTTCCCCAAGAGAAAAAAATCAAATGTTAAAACTTGGTTTGAAAAAAAAAAAATCTGGGTGCCAGTGGCACACACCTATAATTCTAGCTACTCAGGAGGCTGAGACCTAAGGATCATGGTTCTAAGCCAGCCTGGGTAGGAAAGCCCATGACACTCATCTCCAACAGAAAAGCTGAAAATGGCACTGTGGCTCAAGTGGTAGAGTGCTAGCCTTGAGCAAAAGAAGTTCAGGAACAGTGTCTAGGCCCTGAGTTCAAGCCCCAGGACTGGCAAAAAAGAAAAAAGGAAAAAAAGGAAGGAAGGACAAAAGCAAGGAATTAAGGAAGGAAGGAAGGAGAGAAAGAGAGTGTATAAAATTTTTTAGAAAGATGCTGAGCCCAGCACCAGGTCCTAGTCCCTAGGAATGAACCTTGACCTTCTACATCAATCTCACATGGCCTCTGAGGAGTCAGACCAGAAGATCCACAGCATGTGTCTGGGAGGGGCAAGGCCCAGAGATCCGCCACTGCTCCTCATCCTCACAGCCATCACTGGCTTCTTAGGCCACACAGCTTTTCTCAGTGTTTTAAACACTGGGAAAACCTGAGGTCTCCTCACCCCGCTTCCATTTCATCTGATGGTGTTACTACAACCTTCAGTGACTCCCTATCACTTTGAAGAGAATGGTCAAATATCTTAGTGTGATTCATAAGTCCTTTATCTGGTCTCTTTTTAGTCTTCAACTTTGTGTGTTTGCCTCTCTTGCACTCCAGCCCTGTCAAGAAGTACTGCAGAGTTTTAACCCAGCCTGTGGAATTCTCTTCTCCTGACTATCTCTTCTCCCGTCATCCTTCTCCTCCCAGAGAAGTGCAAAAACAAATCAGAAGATGGAAGCTGAGGAATGAGAGGGTGACAAGGCAGAGATAAGCAACAGTGCAAATTAGTGATGGGAGAAGCAGACAGAACTCAAGAAACATATTTGCTTATTATTATTGTTATTGTTGTTATTATTATTGTTATTATTCTTGGTGCCAGTGCTGAGGCTTGAATCCAGGGCCTAGGTGTTATCCCAGAGCTTTTCTTTCTTTCTTTTTTTTTATTGTGAACATACTGTACAGAGGGGTTACAATTACATGGGCAAGATAATGAGTACATTTCTTATCAAGCATTGTAGCCTCCTCCTTTGTTTCCCTTCCCATCCCTTCCCATCCTCCCCCTGCCCCCCCCCCCCAATCCCAGAGCTTTTCTTGCTCAAGGGAAGTTCTCTGCCACTTAAGCCACAGATCCACTTTTAACATTTTACTGGCTAATTGGAGGTAAGAGTCTAATGGACTTTGCTTCCCTGGCTAGCTTTGAACTGAAATCCTCAGGTTTCAGCCTCCTGAGTAGCTATGATTACAGGTGTGAGCTCCTGATGCCAAGCAGATTTGTTTGTTTATCAGAATTGTTTTCACATTTTCACAGCAATTGCTTGTGAATGTGAGGTGAAGAGGCTGAGTCTAAGTAACTACTCCTAGCCATCCTAGTGTCTTGCTGGGTGAGGTGAGGCAGGCCATTCTTTGAATTGCAGATGTCATGGTGTTTAGCTTAGGAGAGCTTTGCTACAGAAAATGCTGGCTGTTGGTTTCCCTTAAATGATTTGATTCACACGCCTCTATGTAGTGTGGAAAAGTTTAAGCTGACCCTTGAGCTACTTTCCTAGATGGACAAGGTGTGCTGGTACCTAAGTTACTTCCTTAGCTGGTTCTGAAAGTTCTGTTTGCACCTGAGTATGTCCATATAAGGTCTGCTTTTGTTGGGCTTTGTCTCCACCCCTGTGGTTTTTGTCTTTAAAAGCTTGGCTCACACCTGTAATCCTAGCTACTTAGGAGGCTGAGATCTGAGGATCGTGGTTCAAAGTCAGCCTGGGCAAGAAAGTCCGTGAGACTCTTATCTCCAATAAACCACTAGAAAACTGGAAGTGGCACTGTGGCTCAAGCGGTAGAGCGCTTGCCTTGAGCTGAAGAGCTGAGGGACAGCACCCAGGCCCAGAGTTCAAGCCCCAGGACCGGAAAAAAAAATAAAGCTTAGTTTAAGCTCTGTTCTGGGCTGCAGGTCTTTGAGATGGGAGTCTACCTGCAGATACTGGCTCCCCAGTAAAGGTTCCCAATTTGACCTCTCAAAATGTCGCTTCTCTGTTTTCTCATGACTGAGATACCTTACAACAGATGGAGGCTCTGGAATGTCTCAGGGTTGCCAGAGGAGGTACCTTACAACAAAGGTGTAGAACACAGTTGTAGATGTTCAAATAAAAATCCCACTCTGTATTCTGTTAGGTCTCATGGGTAAATGACTCTGGAGGGAGAAAGATAGCTAACAGCATGAATGCCTGGTTCCAAGTAGGTCAGAAACCCTGGTTTCTAATTTATTCTTGGGCTTCTCAACTATGTGATCCAATACATTTCCCATATTTTTTTGAATTAAGCCCCTTTCTGTTGGATTTCTCTCATTTGTATCCAAAGGTGCTTTGGGGTGGTAAAGTCACTGATCTTTTTCTGCAGGGCCTTTGATTGGGTTTTAAAATAGGCCCCCCTCATTTTATAGAGGAATATATATATATATATATA